CCAAAACCCTATATAGTTTAAATTAGCAGTATTTTGGGTATTTTAATGTTAAAAATTCATTTATATCAATCAACTTTTTAATATTTAGGTGGTACAAGGCAGTGAAAAAGAGTAAAACCAATATGATTTTAAATGTTGATTTTCAAGGGAGACAAGCAAACTCTCCACTCATAAAAGATATGAAAGCTCAAATTTGTTTCCTTACAGTTGGTTCACTTCAATGACATACATCTGCAAAATGCATAAAATTCTTGTAAACAAGGTCAGAAGCAAGTAGAAAGACCCAAATTAACTGCTATCTCATTTTAGCCTGGAATGCAAGAACTAATTAACCAAAAATAGACTCAATCCTGCTTTAATTTCCTTACCTGACAATGTCATCATGATGCAGAGATAAAGATTTTTTAAACTCTCATTTTCATTATTCCATGAAGTGTCTGGACTAGTATCCTTATCTTTGTTGTCTTGTTCACAATACTTCCTCTTGTTTTCATCAGGTGTATGTCATTCCTGTTAATCTTTAATAATATTTCCATAAAAAATAAATCAATAAAAATTATTTTTTTATTTTTACTAACTGATCACCTAATACAAGACCCAAGAGCAACTCAAGGTAGAGGGTTATCGAATTAGTTTGTTATATGAATGTAAGAGGAAGAGTTAAGAAGTCCAGATTATCAGAATATGTAAAAAAAGATAACAGTTGACCCTAGACCTGAAGTCATTAACATCAAAAAGAGATCCAGTTTGAATCATAAAAAACATGGCACTCTAATACTTTTACAAATGAGTTGCAAATTTAGGTATATTCCTGTGTTGGTTCTTCTAAGAGTGGACATACAGATTGATGGTATGTTCTTCATGCCACTAAGTCAAATACAGTCAGTCATTTGTGGAAGACAAAATCTACATGGTGTAAGTGATAAACATTGAAGCAGGATTAATTTCAGTATTACTGAGAACCGAACGAAAAGATAGGTCAAACAAAATGCAGTGTCTACTGAGATGAATTTCTCATCTCATTTTCAGAACTTTGATTCTAGTCATTTACTAGCAAAGGTTAATTAGTCTCCACACCATTCCCTGTGGAGTTAGAAGTTGTAGGTTGAGAAAATTGACTAACACCTTCAAAGAGTTACTTGTTAGTGAAATTCCAGATGGACTCTCCCTAGAAATCTTTCATAGGTTAACCAAGACAATTCTTGGAAGAGTCATTTGATGGAAATATCTTAAAAGGTTCTGAGAATATTCATACATTTTTTTTTTTTTTCCATTATCAGAAAACAAATATCAGACAAGATCTGGGGTGACCAAAATGAAACATGGCGTTTGATTGCAAAAAAAATACCCAAAACAAAGAAAAACACTAATTTCTTAAATATGAAAACTGAATAACTCTTTTGAAAATAGAAAAACCTGAATCTCTATTTTTTTTTGGGGGGGGGTGCCATGTCTCCTCAAGATATAGGTGATCATGGCCCTGCAAAAATCCATTCTTTTTCTTTATTATTGGCATAACTTCATGGAAAAGAAATTACAGTGTTTTCCTCTTTTCTCAATGGTTTTAAATTCAAAGTTGTCTTTCTCCTAGACTGGCTGCTACCCAAGGCTAGAAAACCCAGCCTACCCTGCTGCTTTACCCTATAATTGGGATAGCAAAAAGAAATGGATCCATGCCTTTTGCAGGGTCATTTGTGCAAAGTAATATAAAAGACACAGCCAAAACTGGCAGAGTTAAAGAAAAAAGATCTTTTAGATAATACACTTCAGTATAAGAGATTTGAAAATACTTTGATAATTAGCAGGCTTGGCTCACAGGCCAATTTAAAATATAGTGTTTGAATCTTACTGAGTGCCCTCCTTATGCAGCTTTGCATAAGACTATGTTAAACTTTATAAATGACTTGTGATCAATCAAATCAAAATAAAATATTTGGTTAATTACCATTTTCGTTTCCAGTACATCTTTTCTGTTGCATTCATTATTGCATTAATGCCCTTGGGAAAGGCAGGAGTCCATCTCTTCTTTTCATAACCAGTTATCCATATATAAAATTCTGTGACTCCCGTTAGTCCATTTGTCCATCACATCCTCTTGCATTGACCAACCAAAACCAAATTTTTTGTGCAAACAGGTAAGGCGGGTACAAAGTACACTTGACTTTACTAGGGTGCATAGCTTTGTACAATAAATTTTCATCCATTTTTTTGGAAAAATTAAATGTTTTATTATTTAACATACAAAATGCTACCCCTATTTTAAAAACAATTTAATGATTAAAATAAATACTTATTTAATAAAAATACAATGTTGATTTTTTGCATATCTCTTCTTTAAGTTGTTATATATACAAGAATCCAATTTCCAGTTTGAACTGTTTTTGCAATAACCATAAACAAATCAGAAGGTCAAATGCTTCAAAAAGTTGGAATTTGGGTTAAGAAAGAAATATTTTATGCATAGCCAGTTGTATGCTACATGCTCAAGTGTAATAAATCCTAAAAATTTATTCTTTCCTGTTAAAAAGGAAAAAAGAAATTTTCTTAAAAATATTGTTTACCATAAAGCCCTATAAAATTAAATTAAAGAAATTATTAAACCGTGAAGTACGATTTTTATCAAAGTATTTTTCCAGACAAATCAGCTTATTCAAATTTCATTGATTGGTTTGCGAAATTGAATGAAATGTAGAGTTTGTAAATGTTGAAAAAAATGTTAGCAATAACTTCAACAATACTAAATATTGTGATGATTTCAACATGCATCAGCATGTTACAAAAAATCCTAGTAGGTAAAATAGCAGAGTAGACTGGGCCTTGGATAGCAACAAGTCTAAGAGAAGAACAACTCTGAATTCAAAACTGTGGAGAAGACAACAGGAAACCTGTTATAAAGTCCGTAGAATGCCTGTAGTCCCAGTTAATAATATTGTAAAAAAACACTGAAACAAAAGTCTTGAGTGAAGAACAGGTTTAATTACATGAAAGACATGGATTAATAATAGAGTAATAGAGAATAGCGTAGTTCAAAGTAGTAATGAACACAATTCAAATGCTACATTTTGCAACCCACTTTACAATGGCCATTTCTATGAGCAGACATTCTACTCATAGAAGATTAACAAGTTCATATTCAATAATTAGTGTGGAGAAGGTGAGATGTCGATCTATACAACAAAATCACTCCACTATCTTTCCCAAGAAAACATGGCATTTCCAGATAATAAATAAAAAGAATTTGTGGGGAGTTATGATCTCCTTTTCCTGAAGGGACAAGGCATGTCATGGTATGATATTATCATTATTATTATTATTATTATTATTATTATTATTATCATCATCATCATCATCATTATTATTATATTATTATCCTCATTATTATTATATATAATCATCATATTATTATTATATATAATCATCATCATTATTATCTATAATCATCATCATTATTATCATCATCATCATTATATATAATCATCATCATTATTATGATTATCATCATCATTATTATTATATTATTATCCTCATTATTAATTAGTATCATCATCATCATTATTATTATAATCATCATCATCATCATTATTATCATTATTTTTTCCAGTTTGGCTGAAAAACGATCTTCAGTCTGTTGTTAACTGGAGCAAAGAATGGCTTGTTAATTTTAACACCTCTAGAACAAAACTGCTCTCTATTAATCATCTAATAGACCCCTTTCTGCTTTCCATCAGCATGGATGATGCTAACCTCCAGGAGAGTGACTCATTGAACCTTCTCAGGCTAACATTCTCAGCTGACATGAAGTAGAAAGACTAAATTGAATCCATTGCTAGGTCAGCTGCTAAGAAATTTGGTTCATATCTATAAGTCTGCCATTCATCTATGATTAGAATATTGCTGCCACATATGTTTTGGTACTCCTGCTATATATTTAGAGATTCTTGATAAAATCCAAAGAAGAATCAGCAATATTATTGGTCCTGACCTGGTATCTCAGCTTCTGTCATTTTCTCATTGCCTTAAAGTTGCTTCCCTTTGCATTTTCTATAAATACTTTCATGATAATTTTTTCAATGTGCTTTTCACTATAGTACCTAGATTCTATGGATTCAAGTGCAGTACTGAATTGCCGGCAAGATATCATTATTTTATCGTTGAATTGGCTGGATGTAGCTATACATGAATTTAAGTGAATTACTAGACTGCTAACCAGGTCTCATCAATTTACAGTTGAGTTGACTAGATATAACCATAAGTTCTATGCTAACAGTTTCTTTTCTTGCACTTCTCACTTGTTGAACTCTCTTCTGGCTCCATGCTTTCCAGTCAATTTTAATATTCAAAAGATTAAAGGCAAATTCAATCATTATCTCCTATCTTCCTGATTACTCTTCTATTGTTTTCACTCCTTAGTAATGTATCTGTTTTCTAATTCTTCCACACACAGTAACTCTCTTGTGTCTTAGTGTCTTTACTGTCTTGCTTGGGGTGAATTTGATTTTTAAAAAAAGTTGTTTTCAAATATATCTTCAAAATGTGGGATTTATTTTAACCCACAGTAGATATTTTTCCTATGGAATATAGTTTCATGCAAATATGTTTGGAATACTATTTTTTCCTTCTTTCCATTAGCTAGTGTTTACTATAAAGGCTGGAGTGGAAAAAATGAAAAGATCCAAAATGAATTGATAGTTGATTACAAGTACATCAAACTGATTAAAATTCGTTTTTTTTTTTGTTTTGTTTTTTTTAATTTTAAGTGAATCGTAGGGTTTTACTTTTATTTATTGATTTAAAAACCATTTGTTTGGTCCTTAGAATTAATTGGGAGATCACAGTTGTATTTTAGTACATCTGTACAAAAATTTATTTTAGAATTTAGAATGTTCTTTTCGTTTTCACTTTGACAGCGTTCCTTTCACTTATCTGTAATTAGTAAAACCATAAATAACAAAATGCAGACGTATTGCACAGGTGGTATTTCAATATGGTTCATGTCATAAATGAATTCAAAAGTCATAAAAATATTTTTCACCAAGGTAATTACAGAGCTCTCTCTCTCTCTCTCTCTCTCTCTCTCTCTCTCTCTCTCTCTCTCTCTGTCGCCTACACCTGTCTTTTTTTCGCCTTTTAGCACCCCATTTTTAAAACAATGCCAAGTTTTTATATTTCCTTAGATAATTTTAGACCATTTTTTAAAATTTGCTTTGCGAAATGCAAAAAGAAAAGAAAAAAACACAAACAAAAAGCATACAAACACACGCACACAAAAATTACAACGGAAAAAATGCGCGCACATGACGTTCAAGCAAAAAAAAAAAAAAGTAAAGAAAAGGAAAAAGAAAGAAAGAAAAAACAGACCACCAGTAAATAACAAGAGGTAGATTCATATTATCTTCTTGTGATTTAAAATTTTCGTTCATCATTCATAAATCTTATATTATAAGTTAGGACGCTAATAATTTGGGTATATTATTGGATAATAAATGAAAGATAGTCTAGGTTAGGTTGGTAAATTGAGAAGACAAGACTTGTGCTATGAACAGAAGACTTCTTTTTCAAAGCGCTTGGTGTATTCAGAGCTGGTAACAGAGCGACACAAACACACACACACAGAGACTCGCTTCAACACACCCGCATTTTCCAAGCAAATAGCAAAAAGTTCCTAAAAGGGTCTTATGTTCTTTTTTCCCACCCATCAACTTGCTTTTTATTTTTATTTTTTTTTACCCACATTTTTGTTTATCTTTTTTTTCCGACTTTAATAAATTTTAAGAAAAATGAATCGCTATTCTTTTTTACTTTCTTTTTTGTTTTTCTATTATGTTTTTTCCAGGATAATTTTCTTTATTTTTTTTTTTTTTTAAATCTATCTCAAAATTTTCAGTAAGCATTTTTATTTATTCAAATTCGTTTGTTTAAAAAAGTAGCATTTTGAAAAAACATAAAAACGATTTTTTTTTAATAAAGAGACCAAAAGAATTAATAAAATTTTTTTTAGAGAAACTAGTAGACATTAAGTTAAATGAGTTTAAAAAGCGTAGGAAATATATGTATTCTATTGTATATTTTTAATTTTTATTTAATTTCGTCATGCATTTAAAATTTGACAAAGCAAACTATTTTTATTTTATTTCTTTGTACTATGTCCCGAAAAAAATGTTCTCGCAGTTTAAAAACATTATTTAATTATTTAGAAACCACAAGAACTTTCTTTCCAAAAAATTATATGCACTAATGTAGAAAGAAGAAGAAGAAGAAGAAGAAGAAGAAGAAGAAGAAGAAGAAGAAGAATATGGCCTTCACCTTCTTCCAGTGATGTAAAAGGTTTGTAATGTTTGGTTTGCTTAAAAAACATAATCAATACCATAACCGGGTATCTTCGGATGACCATTCGAGATCCTGTTGTTTTTTGTTTTGTTTTTTTCTTTCTTTTTTAAGCATTTCACCCCAAGCAAGGCGGGAGTGCCACTAGCACGCAAGGGGTTAACCGTTACAGAGAATGGGAGCGAGAGTAAAGAGGCATGAAAGAGGAAAGGATGAAGAGAAGGATCTGGAATACAGCAAGGTATCTGGAGATGTCGATTGGCATTACATTTGAATAGTTGGAGATTATAACTCTCAGGGAAACAAGTAGGAAGGGAATTCGACAGACGGGAGGTGCGAGACATAAAGCTATTGGAGTAGAAGGGACGGCTACATTAACTGTTTTGACAGCGAAAGAGTGGGATCGAGATGTCAGCCTAGTTGCACGTTTAAATTCATGCAGTCTGGAAACTAGCGAGAGTATCTCGTCGGAGCAGTTACCGTGAAAGTATTTGTAAAAAAAAAAAAAAAAACAGAGGGAGGCAACGACACGTCTGTGAGAGAACGACTGTAGACGAGATGCCAGATCAGGGCCAATCACATTGCATATCGGTCACTGGATTTTATCGAAGACCTTAAGACGAACAACCCGGGCACCAGATCACATATAGCAGCAGTATTGGAATTAATTACTGGCACACAATCTAATCTTTAATATCTCCGCTTGACCTCTGAAATTTTATTTACTCATTATTTTTCCCCTCAATAGGAGTAAATAGGTTTGCCTGTCAACCAGTTCATACCTCTTCTCGGTCTTTTGAACAGGAGTAGAGGTCTATCCCTTATTTCCTGTTTAGGATTGGTTTTCCAGTTCCTTCTAAAGTTTTTTTTCATTATCCCAGTAACCTCTTACATCTTAGTGGCATTATTACCTTGCTTAGGGTGAACTGATTAAAAATTTAAAAAATTACAATAATAATAATAATAATCTCCTCTCCAAGTAGCATGAGGCAGCTTGTAATGGGTTGCATGGTTACCAGCAGCAACCTGATCCATCAGTAGAAGTAGATTCTTGTTTTGTATTATATTCAATAGTATTCCCCAATCTCAAACAGTATTAGCGATATTTGATTCGCTGATTCCATTAACTTGGTTTTATTTAAATTGTTCATTGCAACTCCTGTTGAGACAAAAACCAACAATTAATATTTCTCTTTCTATCTATCTATCTATCTCACACTCACACATGTTAAAGACTAAAATGCATAAAAATTTCAGTTTTATTTTTTACCTACTCAGCATCATTACTGAGTTTTAACACGAGCAGAACTGGTTACATTTCATATGAGATCAAGTGACTGTAAGTCTTTTTAGTATTCTAGAACTCTCCTCAGTATTTTCATTGAACGCTGTCGTGTTTTTTTCAGACTTCCTCTAATCTTTCAATTTTGTCTTCGAGGCACATTGGGACTGTTTCAAGTAAACCATTAATTATGGTTAGAAACTGGTACAACGACAGAACTGTAAAACTGATAACATTTCTCTTTAACTGCTGGCTGATATACGAATAGTTAGCAAGCTTGACTTTTTTTTTAAATCATTTCCCTCCCAAGCAAAGCAATAAAGCCAATACCACGCAGGAGGGGGATACTGGGTGTAAAAGAATATAAGAAATGTATTATTAAGGAGCGAGAACAATAAATAAACAGAAAGTAAGGAAACATAAGGTAACGACTGGCATTGCATTTAAATTTTTGAAGGTCGAAGTTGGCTGGAAAGCAAGAAGCCCCACAAATGAGAAGAATTTCTGGTTACATCTATTTCAACAGTAAAATAATGACCTTTGTGCCAATCTACTACTGCACTTAAATTCATAGTCTTGGTAACATAGAAGAACAATTACATGAAAGTATTCATAGAAAAGGCATAGAGAAGTTACATTATGGCAGTGGAAAAGTAACTGAAGCCAGGTCAGGGCCAATGATATTGCGGATTCTTCTGTGGATTTTATCTAAATATATAGCAGGAGCACCACCAGACTATATGTGGCAGCAATATTCTAAACAATGACTATCGGTAGTCTTGTAAATATGTAAGATAGATTCAGGCGAGAAAAATTGTCTAGTACAACACAACACTTCACTTTGCAGTGACTTAGATCCACACCAAGTGCCTCATAATGTTGACCTTTGGCCAAGACTAAATCTGAATTGGTGGTGGTGATTGAGGCGGCGACAGTTGCTATTCGTTCTTCCTTCATTCGTTAGCCATTAATCGTTCACATCAGTAATCCAGTAATCCACGAGTGGCTTATACTGAAGTTTAAGCGATAGCAATTCTTCTCAATACTCCAGGTTTACGGCCATATCACGTTGAAAAACCGGTTCTCGTACGATCACCAATGTTTAGCCACGTCGAGCCTGGTCAGTACCTAGATAGATGACAGCTTGGGAATATCAAATGATGTAAGCTTGGATTGGATGCGCGAGTGATTTACTGGATAATGGCTCGGAATTGTTAATCAGAGAGCCAGGTTCCAATTCCAATTCGGTTCGTTATATTCACTTATACGCAAATACCCTTGGGAAAAGTATGAATCCACCGCTTCTCTATCCCCCTGCTATGGGTTAATTAGTAAAACTTATATCACTAAAATCATTATCATTTTTTTTAATTCTTACAATTTAAAAAAATATTTTCTGCCTTTAAATAACCGGCAATGGGTTGATAAACCGTAGAAAATTAATTCAGTATTTTAGGTATTTTCATTAATGATGTTGTCTAGGTGGTCCCCGAATCTTTTGATTCTCATTTCCTTCAGTCTTTTTCTTAACTTCTTTAAAACCATCTTGCAGTTTCTTGAGCTCCCTGAAAAAGTCGCGATACATAAAATCTGTGTTTTTGGGGTTTTTAGGGTTTTTTTTCAGATTATGATGGTGAAGTAGGATTATTCAATAGTGTGTTTTTATTTTACGATGATTACCCAAAGTCTGAATGATTCTGCAGCTGCCACCACCAAAGAAAACATTGATCGTGCTCACCACATGATGATGGATAACCAATGCTTTTAGAATATCCCGTGAGAAAGTTGAAAATATTCGACGCAATGACGGTATTTTCTGATCTGTGGGTGCCAGGTTTTCTGACACCTGATCAAAAGCATACCAGGTTGATCACGTCATGAAAAAATCTGACATTGTTTGAAGCAGATCAAGCTGGTTTCCTTGAACATTTCATAACCCAGGATGAGTGTTAGGTTCATTACTTTGAACCAGAGACAAACAGTCCATGCAGTGAAAATGCCCCCTCCTCGCCTGCTCCAAAGAAGGCCAAGGAAAGGTGATGGCCTCAGTTTTTGGGGGATGCAAAAGTCATTGTGTTTGTTGAAACAAAAAAAAAATACCACACCATCAATGGAAAGTAGTATGCCAACTTGCTGAGGCAGTTACGAAAGGCTATCAAGACCAAAAGCCAAGAAAAACTAATGAAAGGGGTTTTGTTTCATCATGACAATATTCCAACATACACAAGGTTTCAATGGCTGTTGTGTGTGATTGTGGCTTTTAACTGGTTGATCACCATCACTAGTCTTATGATTTGACTATCATCTGTTCCCCAACATGAAAAAACACTTGAACCAGTATTGCAGTGATGATGACCTTACATCTACTGTTGATGACTTTTTTTTTAACCAACAGGATGGACAGTCTTTTTTGAACAGTCAGGTGACAGTTTACCCGGAAAGAAACAATTCAGTTATTGATAAGAGTTGAAATTGATGCATGCAAGATTTCACAGTTCTAGCATCACTCCTTCATGAATTTTTCAGACCCCACCCCTCTCGTACTATAACCTTTTCAACTTTTCATTCTTGTGCTCTCAGGCAATATTAAACCTGTTACTTCCATTTGACATAAAACATTAGTGAGACAACTTCATTTACTCAATTCACTGACATTTTCATTTCCAGAAACTATTAAGATTAGCCAGCAACATTTTCAACCAAATTGAAAAGTAATTGTTTTAATATACTCCGGATATTTTTTTTTTAATTCAAAATTGCAATACCAATTTTTTTACTAGATTATTCTTCATTAAAACTGAGAAATGTCAAAATTCGCTGCAATATTTTCTCCTAATAATAACTCGCAAAATACTTAGCTCGGTTTGCCAAAACAGAAAAAAAATGTTCTCCCACAGTTTTTTTTTTATTTTTTTCTACATTATTTACATTGTTCGAACTGTTGTCCTCATCTTTATTGTCATGTTCACGACCTTTCAGCCGTTGTACGCTACGGCCTTCTTCAGGTGATTGGAATTTCAAACTGAAGCCTTTATTTCGTCCACCATGGTAGATTGTTCTAGTTCCACGTGTCATGCCTCTTCCTCTCGATTTTTTTTCTTTTTAAATCAACTCCCTTAGTTTTTGTTCACCACTGCCGTAGCCAGGTATTGAACTCACAACTCTCTGGATCAAGTCACCGGATCCAACCAACGCTTTTATCCACTGGACGATGTATTCTTTTTTTCTATGTGCCGTGTACCTTCAGGACGTTGGAGTTCATGGCTCTCTACAATTTCCTTAGCTTTGTAGCTCTTGGTAAATTTTGTCTTTTTTAAACCCTATCCATAAACCATTTACACGTGCTCGTTAGGTGGGTAATATGCTTTTTTCCTCCGTCCCTCTTGCCTTCAATATGATCTGTGAGTGTCAAAATTTTCAAAGCCCTCTTTCCTCATTGTACGCCTTAGAAATTTCAATCGTCTCTTTCTTATTCTAAATATAAGTGTCCTATTTGTTTGCATTTTCTCTAAAACGTCGTCGTTGCTTACATATTCAGTCCATGGCATTATCAGCATCCTTCTGTAGAACCACATTTCTGTTGCTTCAAAGAAATAACCTATTAACCCGATTTTTCTAATCTTTCCTCTTACAAAATTTACAAAAACCTTTCTCAAGAAAGTGTCCTGTATTGAGCTCTGAAGAGCGATAACCCATTCTTCTTTTTCTTATAAGTGCCATCTTCCTTCAGGGCATTGGCAATCATGGCTCTCCACAATTTCCTGTCGTTTGTAACACTTAATAAATTTTATCTTTTTGCTATCTCTCCTAAACCTTGTTCCGCCATCCATTTACTCAAACTCGCTAGGTAGGTTATGCATTGTTTTCCGCTGTGGATTTCCAAAAATTATTATCAAGTTTTTGTTTTCATGTAATAACGAACAAAATGCTTATTCGTAAATATGTCTGTACACAAGCCTATCTTTGTTATTCTTCCTAGTTCTCTTTCTTTCTTTTTCTCTAAAATATTTACAGCTGATCTCTGTTGTCATAGCTTGAACTTATTCCAGCACAAAAGTCAAATGAGGAGAAAAATTATGTTCCACCAATCTTGGCTTTTTACCTAGTCTCGGACACCGACCTTTGACACTTGTAGAAATAATTTTAGGCCATTGAGGAAGTTGATCTCATCACGTCGTGCAGCTGTTTTCTTTTGCCCTTTTAGACAGTTTTTTTTTAATTTTTAGAAAAAATTAATTTGCCAGATGTAACGAAGGAAAAAATAATAACAACTCGCTATAAACTTTTTAATGGAAGGAAAATAAAACTTCACTATAACAGTCTAAACACCTGCTTTTTTTAATGAATATTTGATAATTAATACCGAAAGTAGGACTTCTATCTTAGTAGTCATGTAGAAATCAGCTGGCAATTGTCCTAGACAAAATTTTGCGCGCGATATTGAAGAAAAGTTAACCGGAAACGGTGAGAAAACCAAAATGACATTAAAAAAAAAAAAAAGCCATAAAAATAGGAACCAAACTCGAATACGACTTCTTACCCTGTTATTTCTTCTTGTGTCTCATTGGAATTTATTTACTTATTTATTCCAAGCGGTGTAGACTTTTTTCCCGACAGGTCTCACTTGGGAAACCTAAGCAATGAGAAGATAATACATAAAGTTTATCTGAAATTTGCTCTGTCTTTCGACGAAGAAGAAAACTGAAGAATGGTCGAAAACAAGAACAAAGAGCGAAAAGCGCGCACACACGCAGTTTTTCCCATTCATGTTTATTGTTTATCTTCATTACAACAAAAAAGTAAAAAAGGTAAGAATTATCGTTTATTATTTTCACAGTGGTGACTAAGCTAACAGGCCCCAAAGCATCTTTTTGACATTTGGAACTTCAAAGCCAGGCTGATTTAATACCCAAGAAGCAAAAATTGCGAACCGCCCCGGAAAAAAATTAAACACAGAGAGAATCGAACTCACTGGCTTGTATGTGAAACTATTGCTTATTTCTTATCCTCGGTTAACCTGGGAAAAATAAAGAACAAACAATTAGTAGACATTTAAATTAGAAATTACATCACTCTCTCTCTCTATCTATCTATCTATCTCTTTCTCCCTCTCTTCCCCTATCTCTCTTCCCCTCTCTCTCTCTCTCTATATATATATATCTTCAGTTTCTTTCTCTTTCTCTCTTTACCTCTCTCTTTCTCTCTATATATCTTCCTCTCTCTCTCTCTCTCTCTGTTTATCTCTCTCTCACACACACACACATTCATGACATTTAACAAAATTAGGTTGACTGATATGTTTTTTATGACTTATCAATCTTTTGCTTGTTATTTAAAACCGGGAAATATTTTTAGAGTTAAGAATTTTTTGGAGATAATGATTTAAGTATACAAGTCTTACTAATTAACCCATAGCAGGGGGATAGAGAAGAGATGGATTCGTACCTTTCCCAAGGGTATTTGCGCATAAATGAATATAGCGAACCCAACTGGAATTGGAACCCGGCTCTCTGATTAACAATACCGAGCCATTATCCAGCACATTACTCGCGCATCCAATCCAAGCTTACATCATCTGATATTCCCAAGCTGTCATCTATCTAGGTACTGACCAGGCTCGACGTGGCTAAACATTGGTGATCGTACGGGAACCGACGTTTCAACGTGATATGGCCGTGGCGTAATCCAATAAATTTTGGTTAGTATTTAACACAGACGGGTAATATGATTGTGTTGTGTTATTTTTTTTAAGTAGGGAGGACCTGCTTGCTTTAAAAATCAACGTTCGAAATCCTGTTTTGAAGATTTATTTTTTTAACCTACAGCCCGAACACTGATGTGAAGCAGTTAGCTTTTTTTCTGAATAAATGAATGAATAAATAACCGGTTAGTTTCTATTTTGGAAATTTACTAATACTAATAAATTCAGTCTTCATTGTTTATTGCGCATAAAATATTTGGCGGGGGAGCGAAAGAAATCAGAGACCATCAAAACATCAGATCTCTTATCCCGAGTATTATGAAAGGCGCAAATGAAAAAACACAAGACTCTTTTTGCGGTATGAACTTTGAAAGAAATTTGTGTTTATTAAATGACAAAATAAAAGCACAAAATACAAAATTTACAAAAACTTGAACAATATTTTCCTTTATGCACCACACAATTATGCAAGATAACAAGTTCTAATTACAATTCTGTTGGGCTCATAAAAGCAATTATATGTCAACAAAATGTTCACTTCGATTGATTCGACTGTTAAAAGTGGTTGAGAAGGATGACGAATTCACAGGCGTCGTTGGGTTTCTGGTTTGACTAGACAACAGCTCAGTTTTAAACTCGTATTTTCATATAAAGCGAAAAATATTAGAGGCCTAATACCGCTAATTTTGTGATAAACTTTCACAAACAACTATAGATTATAGAAAGATAATCGGATGCCTCTCTAAATTTATAGAATTTTCTTTCTTTCTTTTCGTTTTCTTCCTTTCTGCTTTTTTTCCGTTCCTTTTCTTTCAGCATTTTTCTTTTCTTACTTTTTCGATTTCTCCCAGCTTCTTTCTTTTTGTTGTCATCGAAGTAGAGAATTTTTTTCTTCTTCATCATCTAAGTCCAGCACCAACCGACTTCTTCCTTGTGAAAGCCAAATCTCTTCTGTTCGTTGGACAAACCGGACATTAAATAGCTACATAACGGCTCAGATTTGCATTTGAATCAGAATTTTGATATTATGGGATTCGTAACTTACTTTCCCTATTAGTTAAAATTCACAAAATGGATCACTATGCATCTTTGCAAACTTTATTTTGGCAGGTTTTCAGATCATAAGACTGAGACATATATTTTTTTTTAAATTTGAAAAACAAATTTTATACTTGTATCTATTTTATAAAACGTCAGGGGGTGACGATATCAATTTGAGCCTCTTTTATACAAAATTTTACAAATCGAGTTTTATTCAAGACATTTTTTACTACCCGTCTGGTTTCGTTATAGCAGTTTTTATTTAAAGAATACGTGTTAGTAACTTTCTTCTTTTAGTAAATGTTTTTTTAACACTCCCCTCAAAAGAACGTGGAATATAAACTTAATCTAGCTAGTGATTATTTACTTTTTGTTTTTGTATAATTTTTTCTTTTTTGTTATATAAATTTTTATATAGACGCTTTACTAAAATAATCACTTGCCAGGTGTTAGTTAGTAAATATCAACATTAAAAGTACAGAAAGATTTTTTTAACACACACACATATATATATATATATATATATACATAATATATTTTCTAGAAATTGGGTAAAAAAAAAAAAACCGTACTAAACCGGCAACTTTTATTACACCTCCGTCTCTTTTGGGAAATTTGCAAAAATAATACTTATCGCTTTCTACAATCTACGTCATTGGTCCGTTTACAGTCATGTGACATGTTCATTCAAAATAAAATGCGGGTATTAAAAAAAAGAAAAGAAGGGAAATCATGCGCCATTTACATATGGACGGTATTCTTCAAACAAATATTTTTTAACGAATGCAAATCCAAATAAAAAAATCTAGATATATATACTGAATTCGTTATAAAAGCATGTGGACAAAAAAATGCTGACACACTTCAAAGGAATTACGTAAGGACAGTTATAGTGTTCGGGAAGTAATATCGTATTTTTGGGCGACGGAATAATAAAAATTCACCTGCAATAAAAGTTAAATTCATTTCTCAGGAACATAAAAAATCTTTGTTAACAGCATAACATAAAAAGACATAAGATTCTTAAAAGTAATTCTTTTTATTCTTCATTGAAAGAATCTTTTATTCTTATAGAAAAGAATTCTGATAATGCTGAATTGATTTCTCCCTTAGTTTTTACCTTTCCAGTGATCTAATGAAATGAAACTCTTAAAGCGTTAAATGCCGTGAATAGGGGATGCTGCGATAGAGATCCTCCCAACATCACGATTTGGTCTTTTCACGAGTTTATTTTAAAGTGAGCTTGCATTGACGTTCTGAAATAAAGCATGATTGTTTTGTTGAGTCGTTGATAAAAATCTCTTTTCCGTAAAATGGCCCTAGCAATTGCGTCCTCTTCGTGAAGTAAAGGTGTTTTCTACAATAATTTTACTCCAGTTTTGGAAACGAAGGAAAATCTACTAGCGCGAAGTTTTTTCAATGTTGTTTTCAGTAGCCTTTGAGGTTGAAAAGGTGCTGTGTGTTGACAAAGAAAATTTCTTGTGCTTAGTTGGTTAGAAGAAATCGACAGACAAAAGGCTGTACAAAATCAGATAGAAAGTTTTATTCTCGCGGGAACTTTTTTAGTATAGGGAGTGTTTCAGGATAATTCCCGACAAAAAGTGAGTAGATTTAAGATTATGGTAGTCTCTATAAAAAGAAATAAATGGGAAACTTAAATCGTCGTTGAGTGAAGGATATAGACTATTGTGTCTAGTTCATGCGTTGTGTTCTGGGAGCGCGGAAAATTGCGGCCTTCCTCGTTCACGATGCCACTCGAAGAGGGCTCTCTAGTCTCTTGAAATTCGCGTGTCAGCTTTTATTTATTTATTTTACGTACGTCCATACAGCCGAAAAGGTAGCTGCTTCTTATAGGGTTTTTAACGCAGGTTCGATTTGGGTAGCGGCTTTTACACAACCAAACAGAATTACAAAACAATTCTTGTCTTCTACAGAAACAAATGTCGGAAGTTCTACTTGAAAATGAGCCATAAGATGACTTAACTACTATTAGCCTTTAAAGACAATAACTACAACATAGATAGGAGGCCAGGGTCATTATCTGGCGCCTGGGCGTCTCCAAATGGGAAGATGCCAAAAGGGCTTTAGTAATTTTTGTACTGCTATCGAACCCACTTTAAACTCGTCCTTGCGTCACATTCCGATCAATGTGACGGGCGGTTAAATATATTTCCCTGGGCTTTGCCTCCTCTTCAGAAGGGCACTGGGATTAATCTAAAGCGCCTAAGGAGTATCTTTGAATCCCCACATTAATAAGGTCAGTGGGTACCCAAATAAAATAAATATTCTGTCCTATCGCTTGTAGTCTTGAGATAAAGATCTTGTTACTGGCATACCACGGGAGTTAATGGAGAAAATAAATCTTAAAATGTTCTTCCAAAGCGTCTACAAATGACATTATGTTGCGCTTATTAGGGGTGCCAACTCTATAAAATGAAAATTCAATAAGACAAGGGTTTCCCAACAAGAGAGCCGTGGACCCAGTGAATAGGTTCCCAAATATGGGGGCCGAGTGATCCCTTAGAAACAGGTTCCAACCAAGAATTTACGGACCCACAAACCTGAATTAAATTTGGTATTTCTGAGCAATAGGAATTGTGAAAGTGAAAGTGAAAGAGGAGAGTAGGATATGTAGGATAAATTTCACACGTATTCCATCTGTTTGTGTTTATTTTAAATTTTTGTACTTTAAAGTACATCTTTAAAAAAAAAAAAAAGAGACAAATATCCGTATAGTTTTTAAAAAAGAATCATCGATTCTCAAAATGCGAGACAAAAACAAAACATGTCCCGCATTAATTGTTGCGGGTTACGTCCTTCAGCGGCAAAACATTTTGCAAGACGGTTGGCAACCCTAGCTCTTACTGACACCTCTATATAATGAGTTGAGACCTTTTTTTTTTTTTTTTGTTAATGTCAAATTAGGCTTTAATTTACTTTTATGAGAGAGTGGGACAAGTAGATTTACAAGACGGTTTCTAACCCAAATCTTAATGATTAATTTCCTGAGGGTACAAATTTGTTCACCATTCTTCAAAGTGTAATGTTACCCTAAAAATTGGAATTCCAAAATAATGTTGAAACACAGACTCCAATGGGAAAGACGCACTCGCCAGTATAAGAAATGTTTTAGTGTTTTAATTTAGTGTCAGTAATTTTAATTGTCAGTATCATCATTAGTTCTGTTGGGTTGGTAGAAAAGGTTGTCTCTCCCTACATAGAAATAGAAAAAACACGTGACAACTATCCAGGTTTCGAAAACACAAAGGAACAGCTCCAGACGAAGGAAATCACAGACCTGTTCTGATGAAATATATATACCTGTTCTGGACCCCTCTGATAAATAAATCGCGCTATACATTCTATTAACTTTTCTAATAATAATAATAAATATTGTTATCGTTATAACTTCCATCTAAGTTTTTTCCTTAACCTTGCACTCCAATTTATAAGTAATTTTTGTATTATTTGTTGCATAACATTTTTTTTTTTACAAAAATACTTTGTTAGTAGTGAATAAGCAAATAAAAAGAACTCTAAATGATTTATATTAACCTCAAGAGAAATCGAGAGAAAATATTTGGCGCCATTGTCTAGTAGTGACGTGATTGTTTCTAATGGCAATATTAGTTATTAAAGGGGTTTAATTTGTTTATTATTATTTTTTAATCTTGACAAACCGCCTAGTTTAGAGGGACACAAAAGTATATCTACCAAGTTTGTCACACACACCCGTCATTTGAGGCCAATTATACCCACAATCTCCAATTGGGTTATGCATTACCTTCTTGTCAAATACATACGACACATTGCAATATTCACTGTACAATACATTACTTTCAGATTTTTACACCAAACGGCAATATTTTTTTTTATTAGATTAAAAACGTCAATAGTTTTTGCTTATATTTTTGAGTTTTGTTATCGTACTTGAAATAAATGTTTATTAATTATAGAGCAAAATAAAACTTTATTTCTTTGAAAAGGTTAAAGACAAACATGCAAATATACGAATAACAGTTTCGACTAAGACCCTAGCTTTGTACTTAGGACTCCGCAAAAAAATGTTTTCAATAGAACACTGCACTCTTTATAAGACCGATTTCGCACACCCGCATTTTCAGTCTACGACTAACAAATTTCGTCAGCCAAGTAAGGATCTTTCTTTCTGTCGGATTGTTTTCCGTATTAGCATTTCTTGAAAAAAAATATTGTTAATGTTAACAATAACATATTGTTTCTGATTACTCTGTTTATGTCAATGCCCATAGGTTGTAAATGAAGGGTAGTCTTTAAAAAGTTCTCCCAAGAGGATCAAGGAAATAATGACGTAGAATGGCAAAGTATGGATTTTACTGACGAGAATGTCACTTCTACACGGAGAATAACTAACAATGACTATGCTGGATAATACCGAAATTGTAACGAAATTTAAAATCCTTTAACACTGTTTTACTTTTATTAACACAAACTATGACGTTTGGTTTATGTAATTAAATTAAATGATTGCTAGTCGTATTCGTGAAAATTTCACCTTTTTCCTATTTCGATTACTTTTTGATGTGCCATAATCGCTCTTTGCAATTTAAAACTTATATGGTATTTTATAATAAAATACTTGTGAAAATTCCACTATTGCATCGTTAAATATTTGACCTTAACAATAATCAAATATTGCATTTAAGAATCATACATGCAGGTCATTATTTAAAGAAATAAGAAGAGGGTACAAATGAAAAGATTTGAAATTGACAAGTTCTTCCATTTCATTAAAACATACGTTAAATACATGAGAGCGTTATCGACTCTCTTTCTGTATTTCAGTCCATCTCTGAAACCAAACAACAGCATCTCGGATATGTCTTTCCTGTATTTCCTCTCGATTAAAAAAAGGCATAATGTTTACATTTTTTTTAATTTGTATGCATTTTTTTTACAGAGAAAATTTTGCAGAGACACGTTGAGTTTCAAAAGGAAGTTTGAATTTATTTTAATGAAAACATATCTTCAAACACTGAAGATTAAAAAACGAAATAATATCCAGGTGCTATTGTACTTAATCTTAGTGTGGCGCATGGACAGGAATTCAAAGAGAATCGAACTCACAAGCTTTGAAGTAAAGACTAGCTTGCTCTACGGTAGAATGGGGTGGATTTATAATACAATAGTCACTTCGACCAGAAATAATCACTTTCTGCAAAATCTTTTTCATGTCACTAAACACTCCAGGTCACGAATATTATTTTTTAAATTAAATCTTAAATAGAAGAGTTCAGTTTTCTATGTACATTCATTGCAAATTTATCCCCTTCCATTACGGAACCAAAGACAAAATATTTTTATATTACGATGCGATTTCTTAATGTGGGGGGAAATTGAACGTCTGCATTCATTCTATCAATAGATTTTTACGCTAATCATGAGAAAAAATGACTTATTTTTATTAACTCAACAGAGTTAACGAGTTTCGATGATAAATGTTTCGATGATATAACCTAAATGATAGCACGTGGTTTATTCCTTTAGTACTAGACCGTAAACAGAAACTTTTGAATAAAGCAATGATTGCATTTTCTCGAAAGATTTACGAGCCACATGTGTAAGGCACACAATAAGATCGAACTCACTATACAGGTGTAACTAGTATGCGAGATAGACTTCTTACTTAATTGCTACCCATTTCAGCGAGGCAATTAATAAGCTGAGCATTACGACACAAGGTCACTGATTGAGTTGTGCCAATCTTTCAAACAAGGAAGGCTTAGTACTTTGAATCAACATGATTTTTCCAAAGCTCGAATATCATTGGAACTGATAGTTATTATTACGCAAAACCACTAACATGGGGAACATTGAATAAGCCTGCAAGTTTCACAGGCCAGCGAGTTCTCTCTGCATTGGTTCTCCATCGGTGCGGCCTTGTGCCAATTGTTGGCTTCCTACGAAAAGTCTACCTTGAAACAAACAAATCGAACAAAACAGACAATGAATAATAAACTGATGAGGGAAAACGATAGGGATGGGGATTACTGGAAGAAATTCGAAAACGGAGAATAGATACAATGATTGAGAGTTTGTTTTAAGTTTTAACTTTTACGGCTTTTCAAAACTTTAAAAAATGTTGTTTTGGGGTTTTTTTTGGGGGGGGGTCAGCTTTAAACAACTTTTTTTTTTAATTTTAAGGAAGAGTATTTAAAGCCGAAACATCGAAACATATTTTTGGATTGTAAGAATTTCTGGGGAATAATAGGTTGATTCATATCTTTCCCAAGGGTATTTATTTATTTGCACATAAGTGAACGAATCCGATGGGAATTTGAACTCGGCTCATTCCGAACTGTTATTCATTACACCACCCGCACATTCAAGCTTACAACACCTGATATTCTCGAGCGGCCACCCATCTACGTACAAATACAAACAAAAATCATAATGATACCACTAAATAAGAAGAGTGTAAGACAGTATAAGGTGACTTGGTATCACTTGACCTCATATTGCATCCACCATTGCATTTTCATATAAAAAAATAGAGAACAACAAAAAGCAGATGCAAATAATGATCATTATAGTTGACGAGTAAAAAAAATATTGAAAAATTAATGAGAAAAGATAAAAACTGAAGTGACAGATTATATAACACTAACAGACTACCAACAAAAAAAAGAATATGATCTCGTTTGAATGTCTCCAAAAATTCCCTATTTTTACCAACGCCCGTTTCTAGTTTAGGTAGAACTAAAACGTCTCTATTCTTTTTCTTTTCTTCTTTCTTAAATTCCTTTCTTAAATTCCTTTCTGAAATTTGTAGAATTTCTTTTCTTTTTATTTATTTATTTTTTATTTATAAGATTTCTTCTTTTTTATTTATTTATTTTTTATTTGTAAGATGATTTCTTTTCTTTTTTTTTAACACAGGACTTTTTCTTTCTTCGATTTGTAAAATTTCTTTCATTTCTTCTTTCTTTCTTAGATTTGTCCTGCGTGGTTGTATGGTTAATGTTTTTTTCTTCCGTCATCAATGTAGGACTCTTAATTAATAATATACATATGTATAAATATATATAAATGTGTGTGTGTGTGTGCATGTATGTATGCTTGAGATAAAAAAAAGTACTTTTTAAATGAAAAAAGTTAATTTTATTTGCTTATTTTTTAACTTTACTTTAGTTAAAAAAAAAAAAAAAGTAGTTCAATTTTTTTTTTAAATCGGTTTTTCTTTTTCCTTTTTTTTTTTACTTTTTATTTTTATTCTGCAATTTCATTCGGTTATCCATTTTATTTTGTCCCTAAAAATAAATAAATTAAATAAGAAGAACGTGAGGATTTATGCAGGAAAGTCTCTTATTGTAATGAAATAAGAACGAAAAAGAACTTAAAAACAAATATAAGAACGAAAACAATTTCTGGTAAGTTTGATGAATCTTACCACTCACCCCGTTTTTTTTTTTTTTTTTGCTTCCTCACGCAGATCGAACTTAGCCATTGATAACAGGTACCCAACTATGATTTCACTTTAATTAACAAATTCAGAATAGTATTTTTTTCTCCCTCAAAAAATGTCTCAAAGCGTAACATTACAAACAAGCGAAGCACATTAAACATTTGAAGAGACGAAAAAAAGAGGGGGGATAAATAAATGTTAAAAGGGAACGCGAACTCCCTCTCATTTCTTCACACTTTCTCTTCTTCATCTTTACTACTATTATTTATATAATTTTGGTTATTTTTACAATCGATTGTTTCATTAATTCAGACGTTTTTATGTGTTATTCTTGTGTTCTTGCCGTAGTGTTTCTGTTGAAGACTGCATCTAAAGTTGAACTCGAAGATAAACCAATCTTTTTATCTTTCGTGTTGTGCTTAAAGAGGCGCGCCGTACTCAAACTACTATAGCATGATAAAATTAAAACGTTTTGGCATTTGGTCTACGTTTTTGTCCAGCTGTTTTTGTTGTTGTTTGTTTGCTTGAGTTTTTTATTTTTTGTTTTGTTTTGTTTTATTTTTTGTTTTTTTTACTTCTCCAGTAAATTTCTATGCACTATTGACATTGACAAAGATGGTTTCAAAACTTATTAGGACCATCATCAGTCGACGCGTTTTTCTTTTCTTTTCTTTCTATGCTTAGGTTGTAACATTTTTTTTTTTTTTTTTTTTTTATGCATTATTCATTACATTGTGTTTTTTAACTAACCGCTAGTTAGTAAAAAGGATACATTAACTTCTCCATTTTAGAGAGATTGTAAATGTAAAATGTAAATCTTCACTGACCAGTTCAATGAAAATGAAAGAAAGAAAGATAGAAAGAATCATCCTCAGGCGTTTCTTTATCTTTTATTTTCTAATAAACGCTTCATCACGAATTAATAACTGCAAATGTGTCGGTGTCGGATAATAATGCTTAGTTAGCGAGTTCGTCAGATCAATTAGTGTTCGATCCTCACTGGGTTTCCCCATATTTGTGACCAGCTTGTGTCAAACAAAACCAAACTTAGTATTTTAGGCGCCTTTACGTGGGCATACGGTTAGCGAGCTCGTCTGCATGACCACATTGAGTAGTGAGTTCGATTCATATTGGGTGCCATACTTGTGGCCTTGTGTCAAGCTAAGGTTATTTGTGTCAAACCTAAGCCTTGTATTGATTTGTTTCGAAACTAAGCTAAACTCAGTAAAAATAAAAAAAATTGAGAATTGTAAATTGGTAGGCGATATTGTTTGAAAAAGAAAAGGCCTCCTAGATTTTACAAGTATACCAATACAAAAGAAAGATTTTCCCCGTTTCTAAAACTAGTGTATTTAGATCGAACATTGGCACGTGGCACTTCTCAATTCTTTGGTAGAGAAAAACATACTAGTTCCTGTTACAAGTCGCAGATGTTTATTGTTTTGCGTTATAAAAACAAAGAATTTTCTCCCAACCGTGACTGTAAAATTATCTGGTGTAGGAAATAATAGAAAAAAGTTCTGATCAAAATATCTAGCAGCAAGAATTCTCCTTCTCCCTGACTATGGTATCGAAGCGACTGGTGTACATTTTTATGACAACCCTTCTCCTCAGACTCAGACAAAAAAAAAAAAAAACTCGCAACAAAATACCACAGGAAAATATACAAAATTTTAAAATCACTTTCTTTTTATTATTATTATTTGTTACAAATAATTTGTAATTTATTTACCGATTTCAGTTTATTAATTCTTTAAAAATATTGTATTCATCAAATTCTTTGATCCTACTTTTTTGCAATCTTGAGATATTTTTGTTTTGTATTTATTAATGAATAAGTTTATGAGGCTTTCGCTTTATTCTTAAAGTTCAATTCGCTTTTAAATAGGATGTTTTTTTTTTTAAGGATAGGACAAAAAAAAATGTCCCAACATACTTTTTTAATTTATGTTACAACAAATATTTGAGTAAATTAATTATTGGTGTTCAGTTATAAATTATAAATAAACAAATATTTTCTTGGGATGTATTTCATTATCGAAAAAAAAAAGGTTGAGAGTTGCAATAAGTAATGCATTTATTTATTTATTACGATATTAAGGACCCTTCTTGCTTGTGCTTGTAACAATATTCGTCTGTTATCCAAACTGAATGTTTCTATCGGGCAAACATTAAATTTTATTGTTTTAAAAAATGACAATATTAAGAACGAACTTAGCCTCTCTTGTAATTTTTTCTTGATCCTTAGAACTATGGCATAATTTTATTTTCCCTATCTACAATTGAACCAAATAAATCATTTAAAAAATGAATTATTATCACTGTCATACGAGAGTATTTATTTCCATTTCATTCAGTAATATACATAACATAAATTTACGATGTTTTTCCTTTTTCAGTCAGTCAATCAATACTCAATAAAAATAAATTTCAATGAAAGTTATGAAAAAGTGATCATTTCTTTTAGAATGAAAAAAAAATCCAATTTCCACAGAGTAACAACAAGCATAAAGATGAAAATAAAATAGAAAATGTGTAAAATAATAAATAGAAGACTTCAACTGAAAAAAAATAGTTTTAAAATTCTTAAGTTCAAAATACGATAATGCACTGGTTGACCCAAGGATTCATTCGCATAGCTGTCATCTTCCAGAATGGTACATTTTTTTTGTTTTTTCTGATAAAGTATTTTTTGTTTTAATTTCTTAATTCATTTTTTGCTTATTACAGGTTCTAAGTTTTTATTCCCACTGATTTTTGTTTTGTTAGTTTTTTTTTTTCTTTTTATTCAAAATTAATTTATACTTGACTTAGGTGAACTCTAGTTTATTGAATTACCTTGCTTTTAATGAATCCTTCAATTTTGTTGATCTTATAATTTTTTTCTCTCTTTAAAAATCTACAGAGTTTCAGTTTATTTCAATCGCAAAGAAACAAATACCATATCATAGAAGAGATTTTGATTTATATTAATTACTATTCCATAATAAACTAAGGATATCAATAATTGTCAATATGTTTGCTGTTTGTAGTTTTAAGTCTTCATCTTTTATTCTAAAATATTTGAAATTTTTTGTGTTTAAATGCAAGATATGAAAAAAAAACAAATAAACTTAGGTAAAAAAATTCACATTGTACGTACTTGCTTCTTGTGTAAATAAAAACAAAGTTTTATTTTGAAATGAAAGTGAAAATTGTTTGAAGAACATGCAAATATTGATTTATTATTTATTTTCCTTCTTCTTGAAAGAAAGTCTAAAGAAAAATCCACAAAAAAAGTGAGGTTTTGTTCTACAGTGCACTCTTTGTCATATGGGGGTTTTGTCGCGACCCCACTACATTACAAAGTGACGCTTACGGTCTCTTCCCTCTTTTTTTTTCTGTTATTTTCTTCTCCTTGGGTTATGTTAATTAATTAATTAATTGGCTTCGTTATTTGGGCAGGAAGAGAAAGGAACTTTAGAGCCTTTTATCCAAGTTTGACATTGTTTTCCTTCTCCGTGATGCGTTGTTATTACTTGAACTTTACTGACACATTAAAATTGGGATGGAACTTGAAGCCTTTCCGTTAAAAACTAATCGCCTCTGTCATGTGAACTGAACCAGTAAAAAAAAGCTGTAATGAAAATTAAATAAATTTGATTCCGAAATATAAACGAAACTAAAATCAAGCTGACAAAGTAAACGACATTTAATTTAACAATGCCAAACATTTTTTATTAGTTTTTTAAATGTTTTCAACTGAAATCTAAAGAATAAGACGCGAAACAAACTTTTTTTTATTCATTGATTTAAAATACTTTAATTTTTTTGCATCAGGAAATTCATGCTTATCTCAATGTTTAGGGCAGCATGTCCCATCATTTTATTTATTTAAAAATGAAATCATGAAAGGTGACTACCTTATTTTCGTTATATGAAACCTGGTAAAAAAATTTACGTAAAATACCAAGGTTAAAAAGAAGATGTAAGAAGAAGCAATAATAAACCAATCAATGAAATCATTACGATGTTGTTCTTTCTTTCCAATATTCTGTCATGCCATGTGTGCACACGGACACACAAACACACGCAACAAAATAAATGCACATGTTTTCAGAAAATTGGACTAAACTAGTCGGCCATAAAGTGGGGGATCTGTTTATCGTATACTATCGATATTTACTGACCCCTCACTTTTATAGCTTCTGTGTACAAACAACGTCCATGCTTTTACTCATCCAACCAGGAAAACCAATCTGACGCACACACAGACACAGTTTTCGATTGATTATTTTACTAGTTTAATAATTTGTTAAATGTTCGTTATTTTAGATATATATTCACCTCCCAACATTTTTTTTTGTTGTTTTACTCCTTTCCTTTATTAATTAGAATTATTCAAACCAAAAGAAAAAAAATGCCTTCGTTCTATTTGCTAAATTTGTAATTTATTTATTAATTTTTATTTTTTAAACTCTTCTTAAATTTATTAAAAAATACAAAAATCAATTTTCATAGTCAGACTTAACGCGTAGCTTAGTTAAGAATTAGAATTAAAAATAAAATTAATTAAATTTAAAACTAAAAA